AACTCTCATGTCAGCTAGGGTTAGGTTTATGTTCAAGGTTATGGTTAAGCTTAAGGTTACGTTTAAGGTTAACCTTACCGTTAAAGTAAGTTAGAATAAAGTTTATGATGAAGGTTAGAGTTAACGATAATTGTAGCCTTAGGGTTTAAGGTAGGGTTAAGGTTAATGTTAGGGCTAAGCTGTGAGTTTATGTTAGGGCTAGTGCAAGGATTAGGACAGGCGAATGTATATCCTTCCTGCAATTGTGCGCAGGTCCACCTTTATTACATTACCTTTACCTTTATTACGTTCCCTATTCCCGTGTCCTGTTTATGGAGCCATACCTTCGTGGCTAACACAGATCAGGCTCCAACAGTAGGCCCTCTTGACCAAGAATAAGGGTACGCCTAACTGTTGACGAGGAATGATCACGGAAGGACCGTTCATTTCAGGCAGAACACATGAATAAGTATAACCCGGGGAGGGAGGGGATTTAGGGTTAGGGTTAATCCTAGGACTAGGCTTAAAGTTGGACTTAGTGTTAGGTTTAGGACATGTGGCTGGGTACAGCTCTGGAATTTTGCGCAAGGTCAGCTGTCATAGGAGATTTACCTATTGTTGTGTCTAGTCAGATTTGCTTTTATGAGGGGAAAGGGTGACGCATGCGCTGCACTTTCTGAAACTTTCAGCGAAACAGTCCTTTATTCACAGTTGATAAGCATAGGTACGGAAAACATATAACAACGAAAGATCACAAACGATGCACAATGGCCGAAAACAGCATCTGGCGACATTATGAGCAATCGCCAGTGATGAATGAGTCACAACTTTTGTGCCTAATTTTACCTTCTTCAAAAAAGTGATAGCGTAGGGCGTAGATAAACTCGTTTTCGTAGCTCAAATAAACAAAGCGGATTAAAGATCAGCAGTTGGTGTGCAAAATAGGCCATTATATGTGCATGTGAATGGAGGGCAGAAAAAAATGGCGGCTCAAGTTACCTGGTGTTTTTTGATAATACCTTATACTTATTGATATTTGAAACCACTTTTCTGTCAGTGCAGCGGCCCCTTTTTAAGCTGAACTAAGAAGGACATATTAAAGGTGCAGGTTTAAACAGCAAAGTTCAGGGAAGCTGATGTTCCCCTTACTACCTACACAATCAGCCCGAACGTATTCAGACACCATAGGTGTCAGTTGATCTCAACGTTGAAGTGATATTTTCTCATTTGCACTGGAGTGACCTATGATATTAAGTGGAGAGGTCCTCTTAAAATTGACGGAAAACAGACGACGCAGTGTTTAGCCTTCTTGCGGAGGGAACTTCCTAATACTTACTTATTACTGATTTCTTTTCAGAGCTGCAGAGGCGAAGATGAGGACGATGAAGGAGGTGATGATGGAGATGATGACTCCGAAGGGCTCTCTATCCAGGTACCACAAAAAGTCTCGATTTTAGCAACTTTGTCTGAACTCCTAGTCATAATGAACTGGACAGTTAGCTGTTATTATATTGCTATTGGTTTTTTTGACTTACTCAAACATCATCCCCTCTGTGCAAACTAAGATTAGACAATAGCCAGGCTCGTGGATGTGTCCCAACCGTTACCTTACGAGTTAAAATTCCCTTTTGCAAAAGGTTAGGGGAGCACTTAGTAGCGGGACGTTAATCTTACGTAGAATGTCGAGATGTTGCCTCAGCCGACAGAGGGCTC